CACTGAGAATCATGACAGTACACAGAAGATCAGCATCTGTGGAAGGCCATGCCCCTAGACACCTCACCTGCTACTCATGAACATCTTAAAAGATGGTGAAATAGATTAAAAACTTGACAAGATCTCACAAGAGCTAATGCACTTCTTCCTGGTTTTAATATAGAGGTCTAACCAATAGAACCTGGTTAGAATCTAGTTGTCCCAAATCTCTCAATTGAGAAGAATTAATCCTTGGCAGTTTGGTCATTCTTGTCCGGGAAGTACTTAGAGGAAAAGCTTAAATGGGTAACATTTTGGTTTCCTTCTACAAATGTTTCAAAGCAATAAACTACACTTGTCAATGAGGGCTTAGCCTTCTCTAGTTTTTGATTCAAGGTCCTAGTCTGGCTTACACAGCCACATTCGATACAGTCAGTAACTGTCCCATAGCAGTGTCAAGTGAGGATGCTTTACAAGCACGACAATTACAGCAGTTAATTATTTGCACAGTGTCATAGGTGTGCCTAGCAATACATCGTTTAGACAAGTCCCTACCCCAAGAACCTTACGGCTTAATCTGGATGGATATAATTAAAGAATGACCCATGGAAATAAGAGCAGAAGTGAGTCGAATTTGAGCGCATTTCCTGTTTTGTCTGTGTGACATGCCGACCCCGTGTTAGTAGCTCCTGTTATTGCCGAATTCGTTTTGCAGCGGCGTCTCTCCGTTCCTGGTGCTCTGCCGCCCTCCTGCGGCTGCTCGGGCTCGTCCTGCCGGCCTTGGGGATGTCATCCCATGTCTTTGCGCATGTGGCATCCTACAGTCTCCGTGATCAGTACTCTGCCAGCTGAGGTAGACCTCTCATTTTTTGTGTCTCAGAAAACGAAATATTTTCCCTCCAGAAAACTGCGTTTTCCTTCAGGGCATAAGGTGCTCATAGAATCAGAGGATCATAGATTATCCTGAGCTGAAAGGGACCCACAAGGATCACTGAAGTCCACCTCCCAGCATTGTCCAAATGCTCCATGAACTCTGTCAGTTTTTGCTGTGACTACTTCCAGTGCCCAACCACTCTCTGGGTGAAGAAGGTTTTCCTAATGTCTAATCTTCAGGTCCTGTCACTGGTCCTCAGCTCATTATGAAATTGGGTCCAGACAATGATAGTGTGTGGTCAGTAACACATATTGACACAGGGACAAACCAGCAGCCACAGCAGAGTCATGAACTTCTGGAGCTCTTAGATACATTACAATCCAGCCTGGATCCTAAGGCAGAAAAGAAACTCTTACAGCCTAGGTGCACTCACTCCTGAAAGGCTCTTCTGAATCCACACAACCATCCTTGTGTGAGCTGAACCAAGATGTCCTCCTGCATCTGTTTGTCTCTATACTTTGATCATATACTTAGTTAGAAACACCAGCAACATCTTTTCCAAGAATAAACCCTGAAAAGAAGAAAAACTGCATGAGTGAAGATCGAAGTAGCCCTCAGCAACTGAGGAAAAAGACTTTGAAGAACTTGGGAACACTACTTAAGAAAATATGAACTAGCAGCAAGAAAAGCCACAGATATAGTATTTTGCCTGGGAAATCTTCCCAGTTTCCCATAAGCACCCCTTACAAAATTTTTATGGCATTGCAGATAATTCTTGCTTGCATTTCCCTGAAATAAACAAGCAAATTTACACAGTTTTACAGAGAACCAACAGGCCCTTTGTCCATGCATGTGCCCAGGAAACAACAGTTCAAAAATCTAGGCTACCCCAGGCATACAGCTCAAAGGAAGATATTAGGGATGTCCCAGCCAGTTGAACTGCAAATATTTATTGCATAAGAAAATTGTGGTGATGTAAATATTGTTGGGTTGCCAATGAAATTGTAAAAAACTTCATATCCTCCATAAATGCGTACACATCTTTAGACAAAGACGTCTCTACGGCTTTGGGACAGAATGTGAGAGACACATTGAGCCTTAAAATATGCCTGAAAATGTACGGTGTGATATTGGAAAATCCAGACAATCCATTAACCTTTCATATGTGCAGGTATACATGTAGTCATATGTGGACAAAAGCAGTAAACTGAATAAAATACTCAACACCTACAGATTAAATAGACTTTATATGGACACCCATGCTTTAAAGTTATTTTTCCCATTTTTACTGAAGTATGTTTTAAATAAACTTTTTCTAAAATTAAAATAAAAATAATGTCATAAATACAGGTTATGGAAAAATAAAAGCACAAAGAAGATAGAAATTATTTCAAACTCAACACAAACACATGAAGATATATTTCACTTGCTCAGAAAAAAAACACCATAGGAAATGTCTCACTTCCAAAATGATTCTCTCCATTTCTGTTTCAGTTTTATTTTCTTCTACTCCCTCATCTCAAAACTCTGAAGTAATAATTTTTAGATATACACACACACTCTTAATGTACTCCTGAGTTCTCCAAACCCCAGCAGAAGAATCTCTTACAAGCAAATTTTTTCCCAATTTCTAGAGAAGTTCCCGACAGTCATCACCCTCCCAGTAACAACTGATTACTTTTTCTCCCTCTCTTTTTAATTTGCACCATTGAATGCCATGCTTAACAGTCAACATTTATTCCTTATTGCTCAAGTCAAATCTGTAAGTTTCTTTACCTATAGCACTGCATCTCTCAGCTTACACTTGGCACAACATGAATAAAGATGCTACACACCACCTGATTAATGCAAACCCAAAGCCTGCTTCTACTATAACTGCTTTGCAGCTCTTTGTGTAGTGTATGGGCAATATTAGACACTGCAGAATAACGTTTCTCAGCTGCAGTGTGAATGAACCTGAAGAACTGAAGCTATAGGAGTCAGGAAGTCACATTCAGCTTCGCATGTTAACATCACAAAAACTGAATCTTCAACTTTATACTTGCCACAACTGCACCCAACTGTCCTATAAAAATACATAAAAGATCAGTTTCCTGAACTCTACTCAATCCAGTCATATTTCTGCAGAAAGCTATGTTCATAAATCAACTGGCAATTAACTTTTTTCCCCATAAAATATCTTTATGCATCTCGTGGAATGTCTGAGCCTTACATTGTACATCATTCAGAGTAAACCATGCTACACACACAAGAATTAGCAATGATCTGGATGTCTGTATTATCTTGCCATGTAACAAAAGAACAGTGTAAACATACCTGGCAAACCAATATGATCACTTGTGTAGCAAATCTTTTTCTTGGTCTACATTAACATTGAAGGATGCAGTTTAATAAAAAACAGCAGAAATAAATAGATTTGCTATGTAACCTAACTTTTCCCAGTCCTTCAATGCTTACAGAGAGATGCAATTCCTTGGAAAATACATTGAAGACAATCCAATTCCAATATGAAATAAAATTTCAACCATTTAAATATTTCTAAAAAATAGAAATTTCCAGTATCTCTTTTTCTGTGTCCCTGTAAAGAAAAAAAATATTTTGTCTATGAAAAGCAAAGCAATTAACCATTTTTTCTCCCCTCTCACCCCATTTTCTCATAGGGCTCCAAAGGAGAGCTACTTTAGATAGGTGCCAAACATAAAGCACTTTCAGAAGTCAAGGTCAGTATGGTCTTAGAAGAAATTCTGTTTGCTCCAGAAATACCAGGTAAGGGTTCCCAGACAAGCTGCTGAAATTCTGGAAGACTTAGCATTGTTCTCAAAGTTTTCTGGCAAACCCATGCTGGGAACAATTGTGATGTACCTTAAGACTAGTGAAGATTCTGAGGTATCACCCCAGCAATAAAGTCAGCTACTCTGTTTAGGCCAGTATCATCCCTGTCATAACCCACTAAACCCAGCATTCCTCAAAATAAAAAGTCATATGAAATATTACATATTTTGCCATGCCTACATTTAATTACTCCACCTCTAGAAGAAAATCACCAAAAAAATTTCACAATCACTACAGAAATATCTAGAAGTATAACTTCAAAACAGTGTTCCTCATTCAAAACTACTAACATCTTCTAGGATGCTTCCACCTGAGAAATTAAGCTAACTTGTCAACATCAAACTAAATAAGTAGCAGATTGTTCATTAAAAGCTATTAGGACAGTTTTTTTTTTCTTTTTAATTTCCATGCTGAATCTGAAGCAACTGCATTCACAGCTGCCCTTCAAACATCCACTCTGGAAATGTGGATGCTCACCCACTATGGCTGTGACTGGACTGGCTCCTGACCCAAGAACACACATGCTTCCTGAAGGCGCCCTGTTTCAGAGTGATTCTGTTTTGCGAAAAATCTCATGGAAAAAAGACTTCAGAGAGCAGAGAGGAGCAGGAGCAGACAGGCAGTGAAATTTCAAAGAGGCTGTGGTGCCATGATAGGTGTTTTCTTGTGAGATATTAGCAGGCAGTGACAGGAGAGAGCCACTGCCTACCCTAGGGCCTGCACACCCTCATCACACAAGAAAAGGGACTTAAAGAAACCAGCAGAGAGCCTTCTTTACAAGGGCAGGTACTGACTGGAAAAGGGGCAATGCCTTTACAATGACAGAGGGTAGCTTTAGATGGGACATTGGGAAGGAGTTTTTGATGGTGAGGATACTGAGGAACTGGTCCAGGTTGCCCCAAGAAGCGGTGGTAGCCCCACACCTCGAAGTGTTCAAGGACATCTTCTGAGCCAGTCTCTGAACAACCAGGTCTACTGCAAGCTATCCCTCCATGACCAAAGCAAGGGGGTTTGAGCTAAATGATCACCAAGGTCCCAGGCAACCCAAACCATTTTGTGGCTCACCAGTTCCATGTTGCCCCTGCCCCAGTAGGCCCTGTGCCACAGAACTCCACAGGGCCCAGAACATGGAACTCAACCTTCCGTGACATCAGCCCTGGGGCACCACAGGCAGAGCGGCTGCTGCAGGCACTGCGGCTGTGGCTGTGCTGCTGCACGGAGCCCTCAGTGCTTGCAGCTGACACGTGCCTCTGGCAGCCATGAATTGCTTTGGCCTCCTCATCCTGCTGACTGTGGCTGGAATGGCACACGGGACATGGGACAACTGTGGGTAAGTGGCCCCAGACCCAGGGAGGAGCTAAGGCAACACTTTCGGCCTTCCCTGGAGGGGACCTGCCTGTCCCCCATGGCTGGGCCACAGCTTCCCATCCACCACAGGAAGCCTCAGCTCCTTGCCAGCAACCAGGTGCTGGCACGGACAGATGCACACCCCGTGGGCTTCCCTGGCCTGCTGTGCGTGCAAGCCCTTGTGGGGAGTGCAGAGGGCTGAGCTTCAGCCTGAGCCACAGCAGGCCATGAAGCAGCACGGAAATTACTTTCTGCTTGCAGAGCACAGCAGCACTTGTGGCCTTCCCTGGAGGGGACCTGCCTGTCCCTCATGGCCAGGCCAGAGCTTCCCACCCACCACAGGAAGCCTCAGCTCCTTGCCAGCAACCAGGTGCTGGCACGGACAGATGCACACCCCGTGGGCTTCCCTGGCCTGCTGTGCGTGCAAGCCCTTGTGGGGAGTGCAGAGGGCTGAGCTTCAGCCTGAGCCACAGCAGGCCATGAAGCAGCACGGAAATTACTTTCTGCTTGCAGAGGGACCTGCGGACTTCGAGCTCCACAATCTGTCTACAGCCCCATGACTTATTCCTACGGCAACGCGGCTTATGACTACGGCACGACACGCATCGTGGGTGGTATAGGTGCTGCGGAAGCAGAATGGCCCTGGCTTGTCAGCATCCAGCACCCCTGGGTACCAGGCCTGGGACATTGGTGTGGAGGGTCACTCATCACGGCAGATTGGGTCCTCACAGCAGCCCACTGCTTCGACAAGTTTGAGTAAGGAGGAGCAGGGAATGGGGACATCCCCACAATCCCAGCAGGTGCCCTGTCAGCAGCACCACCTGCTACTCCCATCCCCTTTCCTCTCAGGCAGCGGTCCCAGGCAACCCAAACCATTTTGTGGCTCACCAGTTCCATGTTGCCCCTGCCCCAGTAGGCCCTGTGCCACAGAACTCCACAGGGCCCAGAACATGGAACTCAACCTTCCGTGACATCAGCCCTGGGGCACCACAGGCAGAGCGGCTGCTGCAGGCACTGCGGCTGTGGCTGTGCTGCTGCACGGAGCCCTCAGTGCTTGCAGCTGACATATGCCTCTGGCAGCCATGAATTGCTTTGGCCTCCTCATCCTGCTGACTGTGGCTGGAATGGCACACGGGACATGGGACAACTGTGGGTAAGTGGCCCCAGACCCAGGGAGGAGCTAAGGCAACACTTTTGGCCTTCCCTGGAGGGGACCTGCCTGTCCCTCATGGCCAGGCCAGAGCTTCCCACCCACCACAGGAAGCCTCAGCTCCTTGCCAGCAACCAGGTGCTGGCACGGACAGATGCACACCCCGTGGGCTTCCCTGGCCTGCTGTGCGTGCAAGCCCTTGTGGGGAGTGCAGAGGGCTGAGCTTCAGCCTGAGCCACAGCAGGCCATGAAGCAGCACGGAAATTACTTTCTGCTTGCAGAGGGACCTGCGGACTTCGAGCTCCACAATCTGTCTACAGCCCCATGACTTATTCCTACGGCAACGCGGCTTATGACTATGGCATGACACGCGTTGTGGGTGGCACAGGTGCTGCAGAAGCAGCCTGGCCCTGGATCGTCAGCATCCAGCACCCCTGGGTACGAGGCCTGGGACATATGTGTGGAGGGTCCCTCATCAATGCAGAGTGGGTCCTCACAGCGGCCCACTGCTTTGATGATATCAGGTAAGGAGAGCAGGGAATGGGGACATCTCCACAACACTGCAGTGGAGTTAGCACCCACTACTATTTCCATCCCCTTTCCTCTCAGGCAGCCAGGCTGCCACACTGCTCAGGAGAAGCCTGGGCTTGTGCCAAGGCTACCTAGCAACCTCCAGCTTGACATTCCCCCAGCCTAAGGCATGTGAGGACACTCACACCTGCCAGAGCACTGCTCCCTCTCTGCCTTTCCAAGCCAAGGTCTGGCAGTTGCTGGGCTCCAGCGGCACATGGCTCTGCTCCCTCTCAGTCTTTTCTCCATCTCCTTTCCAGTAACATGAGCATGGTCTACCTAGTGGTTGGAGCCACTCAGTTCACTCAGCCGGGCCCTGGGGCTGCAGTGCGCAGTGTCAAGCAGGTGCTGATACACCAGTACTACAATCCTGCTGACATGAGCTACGACATTGCCCTGATACAATTGGACCATCCTGTCCTGTGCAGCTCCTACGTCCAGCTGGCCTGTGTGGCTGACCCCACCCTAAGAGTCTCAGAGCTGCAAAACTGCTGGATTGCTGGCTGGGGTGCCACTACTGCAAGATGTGAGTTCCAAGAGCAACTTCTGGGCTAGCTCAGCACACTGGGGAGAGGGTTTGGGTTTCCCCACAGCAGAGGCCAAAGCCAGGCTGCAGGATGTACACCTCTGCAGAGACAGGCCTCGCCTGCTCCCCAGAGGCTGGCAGCAGGGTCACAGCACCACAGTGCCTCTGCAGAGGCAAAGCCATGCCCTAGGGAAAGGGATCCCTGCCGACAGATGAGGAAACTGATATCAAGCTGCTGGGGGCTTATTCCTTTCTCTGCCCACAGCTCAAGATTCAACTGATCGCTTGCAGGAGGCCAAGGTCCAGCTCATTGATGTCCAGCTCTGCAACAGCAGTGACTGGTATGCAGGAAAAGTCCACACCCACAACTTGTGTGCTGGTTACCCGCACGGCCGCATCGACACCTGCCAGGTAGGAGCGTGCCACAAGCCACTCAGCCCCCAGCAGCACTGGCAGCAAGGCAGCACTGCCCCAACACAGCCCAGGGCCTGCTTTGCCCGGCCACTCAGTCACCCTCCCAGCCCCAGCTCCCCCCCGACTGCTCTGGGGGCTTCCCACACACTCCCCATCCACACCTGCCTGCCCAGGACTCCCCTTGTGCCCAAAGCCCAGAAAGCCCAGCTAGCTAGCTTGGCAGCATAGAGGTCCAGGTGCCAAACGCCCATCCTCTGCACATCCAGGAGTCCTGTGCAGGGACACCACAGAGAGCCCTACCCTATAGAGGACCCCATGCCATTCACAGCCAAGCTTCTGGAGGCTCCAGCCCCTGAGCAGAGCTTTCCTCTGCCCAGAATACAGCTCTGTTAGGGGCTGTGAGAGAGAAGGAGACAGCCCCAGTGCTGGCAGGTGCCACCAACACCATCTTAATCCTCTGTGCTCTGCTGCAGGGTGACAGCGGTGGTCCTCTCATGTGCCAAGACAACAATGCTGACTACTGGTGGGTCGTCGGACTAACCAGCTGGGGAAAAGGCTGTGCCAGAGCAATGAGGCCTGGAATCTACACCTCCACTCAGCACTTCTATGACTGGATCGATTACAACATGCGTGTAAACGCAGTTAAAAGTGCTCCTTGAGCAGCAGGACAGGCAGGATCCAGGGCAGGCTGCAGTGCACCACAACCATTTCCTGCTGGGGCAATGCCTGCTGATCCAAAGGCAGCCTCAGGGTCAAAACCCTGCTCTGTCCTGACCACACTCCTCTCCTCTGTGCACACACACATAATGGAGCTGATTTAGTTGTTGAAATAAAGTTACCTTTGTTCACAGAGAACCATCTTTTCAGTGTAATTCCACCTCCTGGGCAAGTCATGAAGTGCCATGCTCAGCACCTGCAGAATGAGCCTGGGGGCACAAAGGAACAGAGTGGTTCCAAAGAGCTGCAAAGTGCTCTGAGCCACCATGGCCTGGAGGAAGCCGCTACATCAAGCCTCAGAAGAGAACAGGATAAAAGCAGACACCTTGGGGGTGGTGCTCAAATGCACATGGGCTGTTAATTTAGAGCCTGGTGTGAGCCTGGGCAAAGGGAACAGTTCTGGGAAACTCCCAAGCATGACAAGGGAAATGTCACCTTATTGCAAAGGTTTTGTACCTTCTTGGTGATTTCTTATGGGTTGCTCCTCACAGCACTGACTCCTCCTCCTCAGCACAGCCAACAAACTCTATCCAACCTTCTGGGCCGGCCAACCTGCTCTTTTACAATACCCCTCCTAACTGGATCCAGCTGTGGCCTGTTAAGGGCAGGCCTGTTCTTAATTCTTGATAATTAGCACAGCTTTAACTCCTTAGGGGTGAGATTACCACTATCTCTATACTCGTACATTCTATCTATCCACAGGGAAACTCCTGGCTCCTGACTGGAGTGCCAGTGCCCTAAGGCAGAGCCAGATTTCATGGGTAGCAAAGGGGGATTGGTGTGCCATGTGGTCACACTTCACAGATACTCAAAGGAACAGCTGGGGTCATTCTGGGGAGAGGAACCTGGCAGGAACTGTGGGAACATACACCAGGAATGCCACAGAGGGCCAAGGTGAGTGGGCCAACACCACCTGCAACACCAGGGCTGTTCACAGGCAGGGTCAACCTGTGAACCAGGTGGAAATGATGCCTGGACTTGACTCCATATTTGGAAGGAGATGAGGGCAGAGAAAAGGAGGAGCTGAGGAAGATGAGAGGGCTGTAATAGCCTGGCCAGTGGAGAGAAGGAGCAATCAAACAGCCAGCTACACAAACTGCAGCTTGGTGTGCTCATTTGCCTGAGGTTTTCAATCCCATTTTCCAATCACCACAGGATTGGAAAGAACCTTCTTATCTCAACTCTCTAATTAACAAATAATCTACAAACTGTACAAATTTGCACCAAAATTTTTGCCCTTTTCAATACAATTTTGATACTGTTGGGTGGGGAGGGGAGGAATGGTAGAGGATCCTGGAATGCCATGGGGTAGACTTGTTAAAGGCAGTTTTCACCTGTCTTTTGCAGGTGAAGACAAGTGAACATTGACTTTCTTCATCTAATGGAATGTTTTAAAATGCCTTGGACTGGGTCTCACTCCACCTGCTTCTGGATATTCTTTGTGGTTTCAAGTGATACCTTAAAGAACCTAGAAACAAAACAATACACTTTCCACATAATGTTAGTATAGGAGGTAATATAAAGGCTGATCTTTATTGGAGGCCTCCAGTGGCAGATATGGCAAATGACCATAGAATTTCTCCCCTACATGTGGTGAATAGAGTTTTATAAGCTTAGTAAATTAGCTTATTTGACAAAAATCACCAACTAGGACCACATGGTGAAGTAATTCCTCCCTCGATTCAACAGTCTCTGAATCCTCCCCCAAACAGATGGAAACTAAACTTTGTTTATGAAAATGTATCTCAAAGAGTTGTTTCCAGCCTTGGTTCCCATGAAGAACCAATATAGGTTTAGGGGCCTTATACTCTCCAGGGCTTGGAGCTCTGAATTATATTTTCTCTTTCTGCTTAGAGAAAAGTTAGGGAAAAGTACTGGAAAAACTAGCCAGAGATATAACAACAGGCTACAGAGTTACAACAAAGGCTACAGAGTTACAAATATAGGTGTAAAGAATACGGAGAATATATAAAAGAAAAAAGGTAAAAATCAATCTGGCATCACCAGGGTGTTATAAATGAAAAATGAAAAAAATAGCCAATTTTAATAGAAATAAAATAAAAATTTATTTCGCAACCGTAATACAGTCTCGACAGCCACCAACCAAATCGGACAGCGTACCAATCCCAGAAGGTGATGCGGGTGAACTTGAGAAATGGCCTCGCTAGCACCAAATCCACCCCGTCCACCCTGGCTGATTCGAGGCAGCAGTTCTTATACAGTTTATTTTGGCCGCGGCAGAATGTCTTTGTTTCTTTCTGAGTTTTTCATATTCAAGTTGGTTTCTTTCTCTGGCTCGGGCTGCACAAAGCCTCCGTCCGGGAATAAAATAATACGCTTCCCCAGTTTCCGGAACCTGGCATTCAAATGGAAGGGTTGATGGCCCTGGTCATCTCAGATAGGCATCTTGTCTGGGCCATCATCACCTCGGCATCACTGGGCATAGGTGTTTGTGAATGCCCATCTCCATTGCAGCTGGAGTTTCCTTCGAATGCAAATGTGGTGGTGCCTCCCTGTCCATCTGCCGTGGTTTCGCCATCATTCTGGGGGAGATTTTCCCCCCCCCCCCCGCCTTGTACACCGGTGGTTTATTTTATACATATATATTTTGATACACTTTTTATTCCCATGAATTACTACCCATACCTATAACAAGGGCAATGGTGTCCTGTCTCACAGCAGGTGGCACTCCTCCCTTTGTGTTAATCAAGAAGGGCTGTGCTGAGAGCAACCACCCCACGTCTGTACTGATCCCTGCCACCCTGGCATAACCTTCTTCAAATATTTCTTGAAGTAAATTTCAGGGGCTGCCAGGTCACTAAAGACACTGAGTGAAAGAGTGTCACTCAGGGTTGGGGATGGCCGTTAACCTGTCCCGTGAGCAGACCAGCTTAGTGTCACCCAATCATCCTGGAATAACCTTATTGCACTCTCTTGGCAAAATTCTGCTGCCCAAACAACTTCTCCCAGTTCTGCACAACCTCAGCCACGGACATCTCCTCACCTAAACCAGGGATATTTCCCATCACATCAAACACCTCGAGGACCCCTTTCTGAAGGAGTCCCTCATGAAGGGACTTCCACCCCCTTCTGCGTGTGCCCAGGAACCCTAGCACCCATTGTGTGGCATGAGGGACACAAGGCTCTCCCCTGTGCATCTCTCCAAAAGCCTTTGAACAGACACTTGAGTGTCCTAGCAGAGAGTCAGGGCCCCCCACCTCACACCTTACAGGGGCCTCCACAACTCCTCTGTGGCCGTCTTACGCTGATCATGCTGTGCATGCCTTCTCCACCCTCTACCAGTGATTTCACCAAATCTGCACCAAATGCCACAACAATAGAGAGGCTCAAATTCACCCTTATAATTTACACAGAATCTGCACACAGAATTGTAACACTCCCCATTTGGCTCCTTCCTGCTCTAAAGATCCCAGGTGAACTCACCAGTACCTGCTCTGAAGGACAGAGGCTCCAGCAGTACTGCCCTTGGGTCCCATCTGGGCTGCCAAAGTGCTGAGGAAAGTCCCCTGTGTGACCATTTTGGAAATACAGGTGGCTCCAGTGAGCCGATGGTTGCCCTGTTTGATTCCCTACCCACACCACTCTCACCCAGTCAGAGCAGGTTTCCATATCCATCCAGCCTCAGGATTCTCCCAGCAGACTCACAGATGTCACATTCCATAAAGAGCCCCCGGCTCCTGCTGCAGCTCTCAGTGTTCATTCAAATCCCTGGCCAGTGCCACAGCTCCTTGTGCTCTCTGTTATGCAAAGCATGGGCAGTTCACAGCCTCTGGTCCCAGGTTCCTGCCAGCCAGAGCTCAATCTGCAGCTGGCACTACAGCTGCACACCCAGCTCCCTGCCCCAAATGGATTCCTCAGCTGCTGCCTGCCCCTGGGGACTGCAGAGCCTCATCCTGCAAGAAGAGGGGCCTAAAGAAAGCAGCAGAGAACCTTCTTACAAGGGCAGGTCCTGATAGGACAAGGGGCAATGGCTTTACAGTGACAGAGAATAGCTTCAGCTGAGATCATATGAAGGAATTCTTGACTGTGAGGCTGCTGAGATACTGGCATTCCAGAGCAGCTGTGGATGCCTGTTTTTCATGTAGGCAGGGTCAGCGCAGAAGACACAGACACCAACTGCAGGAATAACTGTAATTTACTATAATTTAAAATTGCAAATGGATAAGTAAACAGGACATCAAATCATTAGCAAATATTTACAAAAGGACAAGATAGGCAATGCATCTAATCATAATTATAAAAGACTGCCTACATTGTGGAAGAAAGACACATCACAGGTTACCCTAATCCTTGACCATCATCCAGGCTTGCCCATCAGCTGGGGGGAAGTCACATAGTGAAGCACAGGGGAACCACTGACAGCACCTGGGAAATCCTGCAGGTGCCTTCCCCTACAAGCAGTGAGGTTTCTGACTGGGCTGTGAGAGGTCCCCGTTTTTATAATGTGGCATAAGCAAGATACCAAAATTTCTACTGCAGTAACATCTGGCTTCATTTTCCTACTGGTATGCTCCCAAGGCCTGGGAGGGCTCCAGGAGAAAACAACAGATTTTTCTGTGATCCCACATCCCAAAAACAAGGGCAGATGTGGTCTTGTCCAGTTCCTAAGTATGGAAAGGTAAATCCATATTTCTCCAGTGAGTGGATATAGATAACATTTGTTTTAAAGGTTCATCTACTGGCCAATTTTGGCTAAAGGCCTCTTGTTCAGGCCTTAGTCAGGGCCTGTTGATCAGGACTTAGTACTTCAATGCCCCATCCCTCAAAGCGTTCAAGGACAGCTTCTGAGCCAAGATGTATACACTGTGGACAAGTGGGTCTACTGCAAGCCATCCCGCCATGCCCAAGGCAAGGGGGTCAGAGCTAGATGATCACCAAGGTCCCAGCCAACCCAAACCATTCTATGGTTTCTCAATTAGAT